AGAGAGAGAGAGAGGAGAGAGTACCTGTAGGCTATCTGAAATAATTCTGTTATGACCATAATCAATTATAAGTGCTCCACCTCCATCAGAGCCGATTCTCTTTGCCATGGCATGAGTCAGCTCCATTGCTTTTGGACATACTTCAATGTGCTCAAGATTGGCTAATTCTTCTTTTGGGGCCCACTTGCAACGTTTCACCAAATGGAGCACGGATGCGGTGGTTGGCTGTGGAGATAGAACAAAACGAAATCCTGCACTGTGATTAAAAAATAAATAAACGGGAAGACTGGTTATTTATATCGCAAAAAAAAAAAGGAAAAAAGAAAAAGGTTGGTTATTTATAGTTTTGTTGTTTAGACCCAGTTGAATGAGTGCTAAAAGAGAATTCCAGGAAGGATTTATCCATCGAAACAAGAAGAAAGGGAAAAAAACAAAGATGAGCTTAATTGTAGAATGCTTACGTTGATTCTTCTTCCTCTACATCAATCAATTTTTCACACCATCCACGAGGAGTTTTCTGCATGAAAAACTCAAAATATTCAAACGATATCTCAAGTTGGTAATCAGATAAATTTTCATTTCATATGGGGAATTCCGCAACCAATAATCACATATGATATAGGATGTTCTCTTGGTTCACATTTTATCCGATTGTCTTTTGATAGTGATTCATGTAAAACAAATTATGCTATGATTCTGAATGAGAATGAAATGGGCATCAGAAAAGCTTGCATTAAAAAAAATGTGTACAACTTGAGAATGAATTGGCAGACCTGAAACTGGTGGACTGGAAGGGCATCATAGAACTCATGGGCAATTATGATGGAGGGCACTGGAACCATAGCAAAAGAAGCTTCGTGAGCACTCTATAAATAAATAGCACAGCCAAATACTCTGGCAATATATTCTCTTTACTAATCAAAATATGCCTACATCAACAAGTACACAAAGTATCAATAAGAAGAATAGATGTGGTATGGAAATTACAAGGAATTCAAGTAAATTTAAAAGAGAATGAGACACTTGGGAGAAACTAGGTAGTCAAACACATGCAACAAGCTGTTTCTAATAACAAGGATCAAATAGAACCTTTTTCTAATTAGACTTCTCCATAATATAAAACATTTACACATTACTGGGTGGTACAATCCTCTCTATCAGTTATTATTGGATATGCAGAAACATTTGTTGAATTTTCTCTCAAACCAGATAAGGGAAGAAAGAAAACCAAAACTCCAGTAATGTACCAATTTATTTTACCAATATATTTTGCACTTACAGAGCCCATGTGTGAATATGTACGTGTTAGTAATCCTTTTTTCTGTGTCTGTAATCTGTACATTAATCATACACGTGAAACCAGCTAATCTGACCTCAATAACCAGAAAATCAATGTTTCAGCACTATACATTTCTTTCTAGAAAGTAGTGCTTTCATGATTCATTGAATGATCATGCACTCAAGCAAAGTTCTCTATATTTATTCACTTTCTGAAAAAATGGTTGCGTTTTCATAAATTCTTGAAGGCCTTGCTCTAAACAATCTAATGTACAACCAAAATCTTCTGTCCAAATTCCTTTATTGGTCTCTTGTTTCAAAAGTAACTTTTATTTATTATAAGGAGAATGTATACAACATGTTCCAAACACAGAGCATCTATAGCCAGTTGCTCTCTAGCCATGGGAATTGGATGCCTCATTAGCATCTTTAAAGACGTGGTATAAAGAAACCACTAGCTAGTTGCTCAAATCCTGTATATCCTCTGCGAGTTTTCAATCCTCTATGAGCATGCCATCTGTGAGAAATGGTTCATCCTGACTGGCCTTGCCATGGGTTATCGAAAGCTTTACATTTTTGCATTCTTGCAATTCCAGTATTCTACATTTGTTGCAGTTGCACCATTTCTTAAATCAGCTGTAACAGTAATTACTAAGAAAATGTGCATTCTGACAAAGTGCAGGGATATAAAGTTCGTTGGAAACCTGGAACCACCTATACACTTTGCTCTGAATGAGGCCTAGAAAGGTTTCAAAGCTTCATAAGAGAAAGAATACTATAGATAAGAGATAATTTCACAAGAAAATGACATAAGGATAAGAAATGCGCATCACCAAAAACTTTTTAGCATCATTGCACAATTTCAAAAGAAAAAGGTGCATGTCAAGTACTACAATATATCTAGCAAATTTACATGTCAAGTACTACAATATGTCAAGGAAATTTATAGTTCCATGTACCAATGTAACTAAACAGAAAAAAATCCGGCTGTTCAATTAATTTTGGTGGTCCTGACAGGTCCCAATTAATCTCATACTACTGAATATTATTGAATGCTGCTCCCTCCATATCTCTCAGCAGATTCCTAATGAACGTATGTTCTGAATTGACAATGCACCCACTTTTAAGCAAAGGGCATAGCAAGCGATTTCCTAAAAGAGCTACAACATTCACTATCAAATTGTTACTGGAGCATACATATGGCATAACAAGATGATCAAATGGCCTCTCATAGGAGTCTCCTTACATAATGTATTAATTTACAACTTCACATATCTTCAACTTAATCTACAAGGTCAATTAGTTCTAGCGGCTGCAAGAATCAGATATCATTCATAAAGGAATCATAGAATAGAAATGTGAAATGCATCTAACTAACAAATTGAAACATAACATGGTTCAAACTAAACACTCCAACACTTGTAAGAGATACACTTGAAAGAACCCAAACGTTCCACTAACCTACATAATTTTCACAATGCAATAAAATACCCCAATTAAAAATGAAAATTCATCACATCAGAACCTTTTCCCAACTATTTGGAGTCGGCATGTAAAAATGAAAATTAATCTCCTCCAAATTAGATTTTGAAGAGAAGTACTTCTATCATGACAGAGAACTGAGATGAAAGAAGACTACATCCTCATACATCCCAAAGGAACCTGCTCTAGATCAACATGCCATGAAACAGGAGCTCCAGATAGCGCACTAACGGTCCTTTTGCCATCATTGCAGCCAGCAACATCTTCATCCATGCACTTCAAGGTACTCTGCTGAAGCTTTTGTAGTGTTGGGCTACATTCTACCAAGTGCAAACGCAAGGACTTTGTGAACTTTTGAAACTTTGAGGTGCCCTACAATAAAGCATTACATGAAAAATAAAAAATCATCTCTGCTGTAAAATCAACACAACAGATGATAAACTAATGAGAAAAATGGGGCGTCATTATGGTTTACTCGAAGTAGATCTGCCAAAAGTGTTCCTCGACCCGGCCCAAGTTCAATTAGGTTAAATTTTTTGGGCTGACCCATCTGCTCCCAAAGGCACATGGTCCACACGCCGACCATCTACAAGTTCAAAGATAGGATTGTGATATGTGGCATAAGCAGCATAGAGTATTATCTAGATTCTAGTCCATCGTAATGACATCATTCCCAATAAGGAGATTTAGTTTACAAAAGGCTCAAACTAAATTACTGTGTGGAAGTAGAGAAAGTAAAGAGAACACCTCACAGAAAGTTTTGGGAAAGCTTTATGTTGGCTGTCTACCTAACACAACCCACCAAGTAAAAAAAACACCTATTAAGCACAATTGCAAATTTCCAAAAATGCGTATACCATGTTGCATTCAAACCGTCTATTCAATTGTATCAAAACAGGAAGCAAATATCATCTTGAAAGATTAAAAATATGCTAGTATATCATAGAACTTCTAGAGCAATGAGATGTATCACGCTTGCTATCCCTCAAATGCAAAATGAACCATCATAAGTTTTGAAAGAGGAACAGAAAAACTTCTCTAGGGATTGGAATAAAGACCTTGAGAAATTTATGTACAAACCATTTTGGGGGGGAGGGGTGTCAATTACAAAATGGGATCACGTTTGTCGTAAATTACAGGCAGCAGCCCCCCACGGCCAGTGAGATTTATACCGTAGAAAGCAAAACAGCTGTCCAGTGTTTGAAATACCGGATAACTATATGCTATCCTCAAAACCAGCAAGTCCTCTCTCTCTCTCTCTCTCAAAGCATCGTGACTTAGCATTTTTTTTAAAAAAATATTTCTCAACCCTTCTCTCTCTCTCTTCTTCTTCTTCTTCTCTTCTTTATTTATTTTTATACGTTGTAGATGTTGTATTAGCTGTGAGGGTATTGCAATCATAGAGCTTGGTTGAGCTCATTGATCCATCCATATTATATAAATTTATTGATTAATATGTGCTCCTGTATGCTATTTTCTCTTATTTTTCTCTATTTTTAGTTTCTTATCTTTTGGATTTTTTTTTTTATGATCCATGACAATGACATGCTGATCTAAAAATTGATAAGCTCTGCATTGTTTGCTTTGCACTTGTTGGTTGGATTTATTGTGATTGGATGCAATGTTTGTTACAGTAACTGCATTTTTTTTCATTATAAAAAATATGGATTTCTTCATCAAAATAGGGGCTTCAATCTTCCTCTTAGGCGACGGGGAAAAGAAAAGAATGTGAGGATTCTTCTCAAGAAAGGAAAATAAGAGAATGAGAATTAGAGTATTCATCTATTTTCCGTTCTCTAAATGTCGAAATTTATTTCCCACTTCTAGAGATAGCAACTGATTTGACATATGCCCAAGCCTTCTGTTTTCTCCTGAAAATTTGGGTTTTTCAGTTCATATTTGATAGGAACAAATCGTTTGGCTGGTAGAACTTAGCAGCAATTAGATAGGGGAACACGATGTTATATATGCTTTGGGAAATCTACAGCACACTTGAGATGAAGAAGATAGAGATAAAAATAAATAAAAAGATAAAAAAGAGAGGAAGAAAGAGAGAGAGAGAGAGAGAGAGAGAGAGAGAGAGAGATGGTTTGGGGGAGAGAGCATGAGAGAGAGAAGGGTTGAGAGATTATTTTATAAAAAATGTAGAGTCACGATGTTTGGAGAGAGAGAGGGCTTGCTGGTTTTGGAAAAGTAGATAGTTGTCCGGTATTTAAAACACCGGACATCTATTTTGCTTTGCACGATATAAACCTCACCTGACAGGTGTTCGCATTACCGAACATGGAGGTAACTTGGGAAAAAAAAAAAGCCACGAGTCGGGGGTGCCACCCGTAATTTGAGACAAACATGATCCCATTTTGTAATTGACCCCCCCCCCCCCTTCCAATATGGTCCGTACGTAAATTTCTCAAAGACATTTACAACAAAATAAAAATTCAAAGAAGAAGAAAAACAAAGAAATAGATTGTATAAGTTTGAAGTTTGAAATTCATAGATGTAAGCAATCTGATTTTTACAGTCCGTAAGATGCAAGTGTATTCTATTCTTCTCCAAATCAAAGCTGCTCATAATAGCAAAGACAAGGCACTTCAATATCAGTTTAAAAACCACTTTAAATGTCTCGATAATTCTATTCCAAGATATCTCTACATGCAGCCAAATTGCAACACCATTTGGCTATCAGTAAAATACGAAATTCACAAAAGAGCTCTATAATCTCTCATAGAAAAAAGAGCCATAAAATTTAAAAATTTTCTAATTTACTTGCCTCTCCAAACATCTGGCTTACTTCAGGAGATGTAACAAAGTCGCCACCCGATCCAAAAACATCTCGGTTGATATAAAACCCGGCATTAGGATTTGTCAATACCTCCTCCATGTACTTCGCGACCGATATCGGGCCCCCACCAAACTGATCCATTGACACATCATCACTCAAAATCACCAAATAATAACATATCCACATGACTATAATACTGCACTAAGAAACCTAAAATTGTAATAATAATCAAATGGCAAATTTAATAGAAGTAGAATATTCAAATCAACATAAAAGCAATTTTCATATTAATGATACTAATAATAGTAATCATAACAAGATTAACAGTAGTAGCAGAGTCAGGGTGGCTTTATTTATTTATTTGGTTTAGGTTGTTTCTAACAAGAAGTTCATCATACATTTTCTATACCACGGCTCAAAATTTTGGCCAAAAACTTCACGGAACTTTTTTCTCTCTGTTCTTTTGTTTTTGTTTTTGTGTGCAAAGTCAGCCAAAATAGACCTGAGCTGGATAAACAAAATTATGGATGCCCAAATTTCATAATACTGAGGCCAAAATGGAATATTTCTGTAAGTATCAGCTAAATCATGAAACAGACAATTTCACAAATTTTGGCTCACAATTTCAATAAATTTCCGTTGAAGTGCTTGTTTCCTAATCCCCTATGGACAACATTATAATTTGTAAAGAAAAATTAAACGAAACTCACCTTGATCAAGCTTTTCAAATGTTTAACAAGCTCTGAATCAGAAGAAGGCATATGCGAGTGATCTGCAAGAACAAATACGAGCAAAAAATTATGAGCCTTTTTCTATGGATTCATTGAAAAATGGAATTTTTAACGATTTGTAGTGAGAGAAAGTACCAGTAGGGTTGTGTAAGCCCGATCGATCAATGGAGAGGGTGGTGAAGTTTTGTTGCTCGACATCATCAGGTGATTTAGAGAGAGATTGCGAAGAGGATTCAGAAGAGAAATAGAGAGAGTGACCAGGACTTCGAGCCACACCATTGAAGAGAAGAGAGAAAGAATGAGAGGAAGTAGTTCGAGCTACGCCATTAACGAGAAGACCAGAAGACAACAAGGACCTTAGCATCGTTGGGCGTGGGCGTGGGCGTGAAAGGGTTTGGGATTTCTAGGGTTTCAGCAGCGAAGAAAAGGGAAGAGCGTTGAGCCTAATTGAAAAAATGCCGCGAATTTTGCTGGAAGGTCTCCTTTTGTAGCTTTCTATTCCGTGAAAGAAATTACCCTTTTGACCTTGAAAAATTCAGGTTGAGTTCGTGAGACGCGAGGCGCGGTCTTGGGCCCTTCGTGTAAAAAAGGACATAATCTCTCTCTCTCTCTCAGGGCATTCTCTCTCTAAGCCTCTCTCTCTCTACAAAATCCGCCCCTCCTTCCCCCCCCAATCTCTCTCTCTCTAACCCTTCTGGTGCCATTCTCTCGCTCACTCTCTCTCTCTCTCTCAAAAAAAAACCTCTCCCCTCTTTCGAGTCCCTTTCTTCCTGTTCTCAAATGCCATAATCTCTCTCTCTCTCTCTCTCTCTCTCCCACTTCTCAAAAAGCCAAAGGCCATATTCTCTCTCTTCCACACCAACAGCCAGTCCCCCCTCCCCTTTCTCTCTCTCTCACACAAATTTTCCCTAATCGCTCTCTCACTTGTACCCTAATCTCTCTCTCCTCTCTGGGGTCTGGAATCGAACCCGAGCCTGCTGCCCAGCTGGTACGCTCGTTGTAGAGATTTTCCTTTCTCTTATGATATGTTGCAGTAATTTTTTCTCCCCATTTTTTGCTTTTCTTTTTTTTCCGCAATGATATATATATTAGTTCTATCTAAAGTGAAATATATTGATTGCCCATCTGCATTTCGCTTAATTTTTTCTGCATTTGCTACAACAATAGTTGTAATATGATCTTTATTTCCATTTTTTCTTATTTTATTTTATGGCAATGAGATACAATTATGTGTAAAAACATTTTCTATATTAGCAATATCAGGCTTGAAATCTTAAGAAATTTGGAAAAATGCAGCACATTCTCGTAGGCCTTTGAATTGGATCGCGGAGAAACAAACAATTTGAACTTTTTATAGTTCCTACATGCTATTAAATTCTGGACTATTGGTGGTACCAGTGGCTCAATTTTTTTTTTGGTTTTTTGAGAAAGGTTAACTTTATATTAATATTAGAAAAAGTACAAAATTACTACATTATTTTATAGGCAGCCCCCAGGAGGGTGCTCAGAGACAAAAAAGGGAAATTTTTGTATGATTAAATTTATATGGCCAAATTTGGATATGAATTTGGGGAAATTTGAATTCACAAGACCACATTTGATCATTTGGCGAATTTTCTTAGTTAATTTGGTTTAACAAAGATGGAAGCTTTAGGGACAACATGTTGGGATATGATTGTAAAAATGCGGATGTCTTTTAACCTGCACCTTGTTTCGTGTTTATGGGTCCTAAAAAATGATTTTTTAAGTGGCTTATGAGTGTGTTCTTTATCTTTGTTCAGATAAATCAGAAATTTGGTTAAGAGCGGTTCTTGAAGTCTATTTGGCTTATTCAACATGGGTTTTTCAAGTTCATGAACATTTTTTGGTTTTTTTGTTTTTGATAATCACCTGTCAATTGGTTGAGTTTGACAAAGCACACATGAAGCTGCACCCATGAGGCTTGCAAATGCTAATCCTTTCTCTTGCATGGGAGTAGTGATCCTATTCTCATTGTTTTTATTAAGGGAGTTCTTTCAATGTGGGCAATGATTTAAGGTAAGGGAGTTATCCTCATTATTTTCTTTTTTTCTGTCAAAGTTTTGAGTATATATAGCGTTGTTTGGCTTAAAGGGGAGAAAACCCAAAATTGGATTGTGGAGGTGCTGGAATATGCCATACAGTGGTTTAGGTTTATTGACAAAACTAGAATCTCTGCTTCGTAACTTTGAGAGAGAGAGAGAGAGAGAGAGAGAGAGAGAGAAGTGGACGCCCAGCCGCGCTGTGTTCACTAGAGAGAGAGTTGCAGAGAATGGACGCCACGCCCACCGTGTTGCTAGAGAGAGAGAGAGAGTGACGT